TACACGCCCATTTAGTAAGCGCGTTTTTTCTTTTTATAGCGCTATGTTTTGGTGTCGGTGAAGGTAAGTTTCGTCCGCTTTTTTTCTTTAAATTCAAGCAACGGTTTCGATCCGAACAAATCAAATCAACGGTGGTGATTACGCCAATCCCGAGACGAGGAAAGTTGACTTATAGTTACGACTAGTAGGTGCAATCTCAGCCGTCCATCTACAGATCAACGGTTTCTCTGTAAAACGAATCTCACTTTTTTACTTGCGCGTTGTCAAACACCAAAACCGATCAATCGAATCCATCAAAATTCACCCGCCCGAATTTGACTCTTGCTAGATCTCGATCGTCTTCTCCGATTCTCCTGGCGTGATTCCCTGAACTGGATCTTTTGATCAGTCATTGTAATCTCTGTGAATCGGAATGAGATATTGATTCGATACGAATTAGGGATCTGTAGTTTCGGGGACAGATATACCTGAGGCTGTGTTGAGGACGACGAGTTATGGCGGGGAATAGTGACTCGGTGTCGATCTCAGTACCGTATAGGAATTTGAGGAGGGATGTCGAACTTGAAATGGTGACGAATCATCAAGTAGAACCTGGTTCTTCGTCGTTCTCTTCTTCCTCTTCTCCTTCGAATCATCCTCAATCGGCCGGTGGTGAATCCGTATCGAGGAATTGTAGCCTAGTCACGCTGGTACTCAGCTGTACAGTCGCTGCTGGTGTTCAATTTGGTTGGGCATTGCAACTTTCTCTTCTCACTCCTTACATTCAGGTACTGCTCTCTGTAGTCGCCGCCATTTCTGTCACTTTTGGCCTTTTCCCTGTGCTTATTTAGATCTTTTAAGAGGAAGTCGAGTGCTTTGGAGGTGAAAACAATGAAGTCTATTAGTTAGGTGGTTGTTTTTTTGCCTATTTTGTTGACTTATATATGACATTTGAATTGGATGTGAATTATGGTTAATGGTGCCAACATAGCTGCGAGACATTTTCATATGGAATTATATGGTATCATCTGCTGATAAACAGCTTTCTTTGACATCCGAATTTGGCTAGATTTTGAACCTCCATTGTCGTATTTAACTATAAAACACTTTCTTTAGCTTTTTTTGGGAACTAGCTTATATTCAGTATGTTTATCACAGGATTAAATTGTGTGCAGAATTTAGATTCGACTTGGAATTTATGCATCTGGTGGATAGAATTGTTCTTAAACTTGTTTGATGACAAAATTAATTGGTAATATATGTCTTTTTCGTTGCTGATGAACCCTTTGAGTTTTACCTAAACAGTGTTGCATTTGGCTGATTTGTGCAGACCCTTGGAATATCGCACGCTTTTTCTTCATTTATTTGGCTATGTGGCCCCATTACAGGCCTTGTGGTAAGTTTCCCATAAGAAGTATATACTTTAGTGATAATACTCTGCATTTGTTTCTCACTAGAGTTAAAAAGTTTGATTTATATATGCTCAGAAACTATTTTTCTTATGTGGGCATACATTTTTCTGTTACATGCTGTTGGTACTTATTTGTTTGTTGGTTTTTAGGTCCAGCCATTTGTTGGCATTTGGAGTGATAAATGTACATCAAAGTATGGAAGAAGACGACCTTTTATTCTCGTGGGATCACTCATGATCTCAATAGCAGTAAGGGGCAATAGAAGATATGACTTCTGTTTTTATTTTCCTTTAGGATATAGTTGGTTACGTTGAGTTTTTTATAAGCTAAACAAGAACTTGCAATTTAGGTGATAATAATCGGGTTTTCTGCAGACATTGGGTATCTGTTAGGAGATACAAAGGAACATTGCAGGTTTCTCTCCTTTCTCCCCTGCATATTGCATGCTTTGTATGGAATTTATAAAATTAAAGTAATTGACGACTTAATGTGTATCTATAAATGCAGTACTTTCAAAGGCACACGGACCAGGGCAGCTGTTGTCTTTATCATTGGGTTTTGGTTGTTGGATCTAGCAAACAACACAGTACAGGTTCAGATCCAATCTAGTAGACTGAATGATGTTAGTCGTTACCTAAATATCCAGGAATGATGTTTTCTGCTTTTGTTTCAGGGACCTGCTCGTGCTCTTCTCGCTGATCTATCAGGTAATGATAGATTTTCTCCATACTCTTAACAGATCATAGTTTCTATTTAAAATCTAGAACTAGATTGAATTATCTGTGCTTCTGATTCTGTAGAAAAACACTAATGAGATGTTTCTTGCTTTCCTTAGGTCCTGATCAGCGGAATACTGCAAACGCTGTGTTCTGCTTGTGGATGGCTATTGGGAATATCCTGGGGTTTTCTGCTGGTGCTAGCGGACAATGGCAAGAGTAATTCTCACTCTCAAAAACTCGTATTCTGTTCACTCATTTGCGAGATAGCATTTTCCGCAAGCTGTTAAATAATCCATGCAATTTTACTGTGCAGATGGTTCCCTTTCCTAACCAGTAGAGCATGCTGTGCGGCATGTGGAAATCTTAAAGCAGCGTTTCTTCTTGCAGTGGTAAGCAGTATGGTCTGGTCTTTACCAAATCATGTTTATATGTTGGGGATCATTATTCATTAGTCACATCTCAAGTCATTCGTTAGTATGTCTGTATGATTTGCGAGGTGATTTTGAAAGTTTTATCCATATTGATCCACCTAGTGGTTTTTGTTCTGGTTTTGCAATCTGAATATAATTTTCTAACAGTTATTATTTTTTCCAGGTCTTTCTCACTATATGCACTCTTGTCACAATCTATTTTGCTAAAGAGATTCCTCTGGAAAGCAATAGACCCACCCGCGTACTAGATTCTGCACCTTTGTTGAATGATCTCCAACCAAACGGCCTTGAGCACTCAGGACCGAATCATGGTAATGGCAATGGGATCGAGTATGAGAGAGTGGAACGTGATATGAATGGACAGCTCACGACATCAGAGAATGAGAATCAACATGAAACCTTCATTGATCGCCCTGCATCTGTTTTAGTGAATTTGCTAACCAGTTTAAGGCATTTGCCGCCTGCTATGCACTCTGTTCTTATCGTCATGGCTCTTACTTGGGTGAGTGCCAAAGAAAAAACATAATGGAATCTTTATACCTTTGCGACACTGTTTCCTGTTCTTAGCTCCTTGTATATTATTGATTGTGGTCTTTCTTCCTTGCAGTTATCGTGGTTCCCCTTCTTTCTGTTTGATACAGATTGGATGGGAAGAGAAGTTTACCATGGAGATCCAACGGGAGATAGTTTGCACGTGGAACTTTATGGTCAAGGTGTCCGGGAAGGTGCATTTGGTTTGCTACTAAACTCTGTAAGAATCAATATTCACAACGTGTTTTCTGCTGCTTTAGAACGGATTCTAAAGTGCTCGTTATTGATTTCGTCTTTCCTGGTTTTCATAGGTTGTTCTTGGGATCAGCTCATTCTTGATTGAACCAATGTGCCAGCGGATGGGTGCACGAGCTGTATGGGCTCTGAGTAATTTTACTGTATTTGCGTGCATGGCGGGAACAGCTGTCATTACCTTGATGTCTTTGAAGGATAACTCCAAAGGAATCCAACACATAATAGATGGGAACGAAACAACAAGAACCGCAGCCGTAGTCGTCTTTGCACTCCTCGGTTTTCCTTTAGCCGTATGTGTTTCTTTTCCTTATTCTTGTTGCAACGCTTCTCTGAAATACGCGATAGATAAAAAAAAAAAAAACTTTCTGTTTTTGTTTTTGTGCAGATTACATACAGTGTCCCTTTCTCTGTCACGGCAGAAGTCACTGCTGAATCCGGTGGCGGTCAAGGTCTGTGAAAAGATTCATATCTTCACTTACATTCATAGCTTTGTGCTTAAATCTTTAGATCTCATGGATGATTAATGGTTTTCATTTCCTCGTTTGTAGGTTTGGCTATAGGAGTGTTGAATCTCGCAATCGTCATTCCCCAGGCAATCTCTCAAATCTAATAATAACACTCAGAATTCAGACTCTTGTATTGAATAATGCCCACTCAAGAACCGTAATGACTGTCTGAAAATGGTTTTTTTGGTTTTGGAACAGATGATAATATCACTTGGAGCTGGTCCATGGGATGCATTGTTTGGAGGAGGAAACTTACCGGCTTTTGTTTTGGCCTCTGTTGCTGCTTTCGCTGCTGGTGTTATTGCCTTGCATAGGCTTCCCACACTATCTAGTTCGTTCAGGTCCACCGGTTTCCATATCGGGTAAAATCTTTCAAACCGGGACACTCCAATACAAAATCGAACCTGGGACTTGAAAATTCAGATTTAGGATCCATTCGATTCTTTTTGGCCATCATATATGTATGTAGGTTTTGTACATTTAGTGTTGTTGTATGTGTACACAACTTATGTGATTCTAAATTTACCTCTCTATATTATTAGCATAGTGGTTATCTTCGTTATTCTTAATCAGTTTAAAGTGTGGTTCACTTCCTTAAAATCAAAATTTCAAGCAACATATTGCAAACTCAAGAGCGTAACCTCTAAATCGATAAAAGTAAATAACATATGATTAAAGAAGATTGAATGTTTGCACCTCTAGAAGAAGATATATACACTACTAAACAATGCCTTGAATGATGTCCCTTTGTACACTTCACAAGTTCCTTTTTTTAGTTCAAATAAACAAATCATTTCAAAAGAAAGGACAAAAAATCAAACTAGTTTCACCTATATGCCATTATTGTCATGACCAAACTATATCTCCAAATTCCATTTGTAAAACAAGATAACCCAAACGTAAGATATTTTGGCTCGGTGGATATAGACTTGACTATAATCAATTTACGTAGACAATGCGTCCAGAAATTATAAATGACCATATATAATATCGTGGGCTGTTGAGACATGCACACACTTTAATAAAACAAAACAAAACAAAACAAAACATTGAATGCCTTTTAATTTCTCTTTAAAAACCCTTCGTCCATTGTCTTTTCAATTCGTCCTGATTCATTCACTCTCCACAATCTCTCTCTCTCTCTAAACTTTCTCAGAAGATTGATCGATGGCCAAGGGAAGAGGCAGTGCATCATGGTCGGCTCGAGCCGTAGTTGCTCTTATGGCTGTGTCAGTGTTGTTGCTTCAAGCCGACTACGTTCAAGCTGTGATTTACACTGTTGGTGACTCCAACGTCTGGACCTTTAACGCTGTGAATTGGCCTCGAGGCAAAAGTTTTAAAGCCGGTGACGTTCTCGGTATGTATATATACTTCTCATCCTTTTTTTTAATTAAGCTTCAAACAATACTTTATCATCTTGCTACACATATACCACAGGTCCACAGTGACAAATTAAATTAAATATTGCAGGGTTACAAATCTTTAGTTTTAAAAATGTTTAACATTTAATTAAGATTACTGTTTTTGACGGAATTATGATTAATATATAGTATGAAATTGAGTTGAGCCGTCGTGATATAGATATGTGTGTATATCTTTCTTCTTGAAAAAACATTTTCCTAGTTTTTAATCAAAAGCTAATTCATGCATATGAGTTTCAGAGTCTACATGCGATTTATATATAGTTTTTTCTACAAATTGCAAAACATAATTTCATTTGCGTTTTTAATTAATAAAACAATGTTGTTTAAAATGGTAGAAACTTTGGTGTAGTTTTAAAGGAAAATGTACGAAGCATAGTCAGGTGTTGCCCCAAAAAAACAAAACTGTTATTCAGTTTCGGTTTAAACTTGAGTGATCATCATTTTTTTTCCCATGAAGAAATATCACAACCAACGATATGTTTTTATGTATTTGAAAATAGCGAATAGTAATATTTGTTATATATGAGGTGTAAATGTTTTTTTATATATTTAAACTATATATCATGCCCATTTATACAAGTAACGTTTTTGGTCAATATCCCATGCACAAACGAAATCGTGTTTCAAGTAATTACCTTTGTAGCGAAAATTCCTAATAGTTCCAACTTCGTTCTATATTTTAGTGTGAATATTATTAACTTATATAAAATTACAATTTCAAAACTTGTTGCAGTGTTTAATTATAATCCGAGTAGCCACAATGTAGTGGCGGTAGATAGTGGAGGCTACAACAATTGCAAAACGCCGGCACGTGCGAGAACATACACTTCTGGCAAAGATCGTATAACATTGTCTAAAGGACAAAACTTCTTCATCTGCAACTTTCCAGGCCATTGCGAATCCGACATGAAGATCGCAGTCACTGCCAATTGATCTTGATCTTCACTTTGTTATGTTCTTAAGAAAACATCAAGTATCCAATAAAGTTTGTACCTCATTAGTTAAGTTGCAAATCCTGTAATGTTTCTTGTATCTCCTGGCAAGTATTGGGTGCGTTATCTAGAAATGATTATAGATGGCCTCATAGTTTGGAGGATTCAAATAGAACTCTTTTATATAGTTATATAAAAACTACATCTAAAGATGATAGAAACCAAAAACATTCACTGATAGAAACTTAAAATTTTCAAACTTAAAAACATTAAAGGAATTTTTCGGTAAAGTTCGACGAATTTAGCAAATTCCTACATATTTTAGTGATTGTATCAATTCAAAATTCGAGCTCCAAAATTGGTTAAAATTGCTAAAAATTTCCGGAGAAAACCGGAAATTCCCTTAAAGTTATTAAATTTGGAAATTCTGAATTTAGAACTAAAAATCCCGACGGATAATGTTACAAATTTAAAAGAATCCATTTCCATGTTAACAGTTGACTAATTGAAACCCGATTTGGTAAAGTCAACACTACTTTGAGGAATTATTTGTGCAATCAAAAGTTGGAGGATAAAACGTGAAATTTTATATAATTCATGATTTGTTTGTGCGTTTTTCCCCTAGTAATTTGGAGGAACTTCTGCTATGTAGATTCAAATAGAACTCTTTTATATAGTTATATATAAAAACTATCTGTATCATATATATAAACTATCTAAAGATGATAGAAACCAAAAACATTCACTGAAAAGGATTCCTAGAAAAAAAACTCCAAACACAATTGATTTAATGGGCTTTGCAAAATCATAAGATACGCTTTTAGTTATGTAAAAAAAAAAAATCCCACCTACAAGCATTTTGACTATGTGTTAGCTTCACTATGGATGCGGTAACACCAAATTGTGAGTTTTGGTCATTGACCTCTCTAGGTGTTGGGATAAACTATTTTTCGTAGGGATAATATGAAAGAAAATGTAAACCAGGTAACATTATTTTGTTATCGATTATAAAATTCAAAACATAATTAATGATATATAATGAAACCTGAGTTGGGCTTTGTAATAATATAAGCCCAGAGACTGCAATATATAATTGGCCCATTTACTGAACTTGCTTCATATTTGAAAAATATATCTCAAACATATGCCTGCAAGAAATACTTTTGTCTACAATATTTTCCCTGCAAACATTTATTGCAATTTTAAATATAATTTCGTGCTGTAATTTTTAATAGGAAACATGCCTGCGAGAGTCTGCGACTAATGATATTGTCGTATATGATTATAATCAGACAACTAGTAGAGTACCCGCACGTTTGTGCGGTGTGACGTTGTTGTTTTGTGTAGAAAATTTAAACCCTAAATCCGAACCCGACAAAAAACCCTAATCAAAAAATTTAAAAACCCAAACTTTTTTAATAGGTCTAAACATGAAAATCCGAAATCAAAAAAATCCCGAAAACCCTGACTGAACAAAAAAAATCTGGAAACTTTTTCACCCGGAACCCGACCCCAATACCTAATCAAAATTTTAAAATACTCAATTTTTTTAATATATCTAAACCCGAAAACCAGAAATCTAAAAAATCCGGAAAACCCTAAACTGAAAAAAAAAATTGAACCTAACCCGAACAGAAATTTTCAAAGAAACCCGAACAATTTCTATATCTCTATATATATCTCTATAAAATTATGTCTCAGATTTTCACCCAAACCCGAACTTGTCTATAAAAACCCGAAAATCCAAAAAGCATATTCTATTGATTTGGAATTATCGTTAGATTATGTTAAGTTTTTTTTTTTGCAGATTTTTAAGAGATGGAAAACGGAAGTTTTCTAAACCATCGGTTTATTTTAAGTTATTATTCTTGTATCCAAACAATTTTTTCCATTTATTCTTCTATCCAAATAGATTTTTCTCTTATTCTTATATCCAAACAACTTTTGTTTCCATTTATTCTTCTATCCAAATAGATGTTTCTCTAATTCTTGTATCCAAACATTAGAATGTACTTCTCAATTAATAATATAATAAAGATAATGTGACAGCCGAATTTAAATAAAACAATAGATATATAACGCCCCGACCGTCCCTCCCGGTGAGTCACCCACGCCCTCTCTCTGGGCCCGCAGGTCCATCTCGGCCTGTGGGCCTCATCCCTGTCCGACGGCCGGTCCGTTATTTTCGAGAGGCTCTAATGACTTGTTTACTATTCCCATCTCGGCCTGTGGGCCTCATCCCTGTCCGACGGCCGGTCCGTTATTTTCGAGAGGCTCTAATGACTTGTTTACTATTCCTGCAATCAATACCTGACCTTTCCCCGTGTTTTGGCCTCACTCACACAGTTTCGGAAACCACTTCCCGAAAGGTCACCCATCCTTCAACTACTCCAGCCCAAGCACGCTTAACTCTGGAGTTACTTATAGACCTTTGACCGAAAAGGTAAGTGCACTTTATTGACATAGGTAGCCAAATCAATTCTCTTAAGCCTCTCCACATTTATCACAAACCGGGATGTTACAAGATATATTATAATTTTGAGGAAACATTTAAACAATACATTATTATCGTTATTAGTTATACTATTACTGTTTGGTCCTACTCCAACACACCCATTCAAGCTTCGGGTCACGCCCTCTGCATATCAAATGAGTACGACGACCTCAGTACCTCACAGGCTCACACTCGCACCATATATTTCCACATTCTTATAATTAATTTAATGTATAAACTAATTAATATGATTAAAAAAGATCGGATGAAACATTATCCAGATGAAAACCACAATCCAAAACACTTACAAAATTTATTCGTCCCGGTCATTATTGTCATTCCAACTCAAGGTAGTCCACATCGTTATATGCCATGTTATTTGACCATAAATATATGAAATTAACCTTCATTGAATTCCAAATTAATCTGCTAAAGAAAGTATCAATATAGGAAGTAGGTAGATAGGTCTTTAGAATTTGGTTGAGTCTTTGCTTTGATGTCTGACACATTCTCACAAAATCTGAGGCAGTCTTCTCCATTCCCATGATTTTGAACATTTTTTTTAATATATATACTTATTCTATAAAATGTGTGTTTCTTACTTTCCTCTGTTCACCAAAATACCAAATATGTGTCTCATCCTCTTTTTTGTTTAACAAAACATGTTTTCTTTTGTTCATACATTGCGTTTTTACACAAACAAATTTCCTTTATTAGTTAAGCTGTTAAGATGTTGTACGCATTTACATAAATAAATAATACATTTCAAATTCAAATTTATTTTTTACTTCTCAGTTCAATTCATTTTTTTTCTCTTTTTTCGTAAAGTTAATTCAAGAGATAAAAGTATAATAGAATTAAAATATATTTGAATCGTGCTGTACTATTTGATTTCTCTAAACCAAATTTTAAGCATCTCTAATTAACGACAAATATATATACATATGTAAAACAACTGATCATCTTATATTTTTAATTTATAAGTGGTAAGAGATTATGAACTGTAATCTAAAACATACATGATTGATAATTGAAGAAGTCTTAGATCAGCTTACTAGTTCATACGGGTAAAACGTCAAATATTGGTGGAATACGTATATCTACGAGTATAGTTCTGTGTCATAATGTGTTTATTGGTGTACATCGTAGCGTGCATGTGTATTGGAGAAATGGAGTGTGTATATAGGTGGTTGTATATACACACGTATCATATAGTTAGATTAATCTTGAAAATGATTTTATTTATAGTATGATTTCATCAAGTTATATTATATATATACATTTGAACAAAATAAATAAATAGATAAATAAATACTATTATATATACATTTATATTACGATATAGAATAATATTGTTGTGCCATAAAAGTAAAAGTTCTGTTTCTAAAAACTTATGTTTTAGAGGTTTTACTTAGACTAGGAAAGCACTCGCGCAATGCGCGGGATTTTGTTTTACAATTTAGTGTTTTATGAAAGTTTAAAAAAAAAAATTATCCTAGGTTTTAATCCTCTCTCTCAATAATGGTAACATTTTTTGCTTTTTTGCTTATTTTTGCTCACTGTTTTTGTATTTTTTGCCTAAGGTTTTGGTTTAATTCCTCGTTGATTTACTTTAACTAATCAATATTTATATTCCAAAATGGTTGTTGACCAAATTAAAATATACATTCATCAGACATAAAGTAAAGAACTTGTGCTTTTAGCAATCAACTAAAGGGTATTTGTTTTACCTTTGATTGTATTAAAGTTTTAAACTAATAAGATATGGAGTAGTAAAAGAAGTTAAAAATTTCTTCTACCAATCCAACGAAATAAATCAGTAGATATATAGCGTTTGTAATTTGAAGGACATAAGCCAACTTTATTTGGAACAAAGACGTGTTTTAGGACCGGGTAAATACATACGTTATATACCAAAAAACAGAAGGTACAAACTGTGAATCCAAATAAACTTAGTAATAACAAAATCTTCAATCTCTATGAGATGTACAATTCAAGAAGCAAAAGAGTATTTCCTATACAAAAGGATGCAATACTTTTTGTTCTTCAAATATCTTGTCCCTGCAAAACCAACAAATGCAGAGACGACTATGAGCAAACAATAAAAGAAGAACTACAAACGAACCGCATGCAAATCAGACAACCTTACATAACCCTACAAGAAAAACTCTGCATACACTTTAACATCATACGCAGAATTCAAAATCAGGACATGAAAAGGAGATAAATTTGAATACCGTGAAGCAGTTATGTGTACAAGCTTCTGCTTTAAACCTTTATCGATGATTTCTCCAGCAACTGCAAGTCCTTTTGACGTCCCTCGCCCAACTAAAAAACAGGCAAAACCGGAGAAAGAGTGGATTCGTCTATAGCCACAGTACGTTTAACACCTTTTTGCTTGAATAAACTCAGTCTAGAATAAGTGAGCAGACTCTCGAGCTGTTGGTTTCAAAATCAAGAGTCGATTAACAATCTACAATATCTAAATACAAGCCAACGGAGCGTTGAGACACTATCCAGAAATTGAAAATAATTGGAAAGCAAACAGGTGTAGACTAAAAAAAAAGGGTCAGACCTCATGTAGTGCCGTGAAACTTTAGGTTTTATATTATAAAGTTTTGTTTGACAAGTTTTAACCTGTAGTCACTGTAGATCTATGGTGCAGTGATGAGAAAGTGAACATCTCTAAAGCTTATGTTGCCTACTGGCTTCTCACTTTTCCTTTCAACGACGTGTATGCCTCCGATTCTCTTTCTCCTCATCAGCTTGAAGACCTGAAGAACAGGTTCATCTTCATAGATCTGTAACATAAATGGTGAGTATGTTAAGAACAACAAAGAATGCACTCTTATGGAGCTATGAGTAAGATTAGGAATACAAAGTTACAAAGCTGACCTTTATGATATGATCTTTTGACATAATGGGAAGACGGACTTCAGAGAGAGTTTTGATTCCCCAATCTTCAAACCAGTGGAGCCCCGCGCATTCTGCAAACATATGGATAACTCCTGATTGAGTGATGATGCTCTCGATCTTTGCTTCACCTAAATCAACCACAGGGATGCTCTTCATTTTGTGCTTTGAAAGAAGCAAGAGCATGGTTAAAAAGGAGTTCTCTTTCTGCAGAGCCAGGAACGGTGCCCATCGGAATGTTCCAGAGATCTCGAACCTGTAAGAGAGAAGGATATTCAATGCATTTCCAAAAGCCGTAATCAGGAAAAGAATCAATGGAACGTGTAAAAAGATAGGAGCTTCACCTTGGTGTTCTTCTATAGCTCTGAAGAAGTAAGGACCTCAAAGAAGTTTCCAGAAGTAAGACTGAGACATGCCTTGTTGCATGTTCTCTCTTCTCTTTAGATCCTTCCATAAACAAAACCAAATCACTAAAGTAAGACTGAGACATGCCTTGTTGCATCAAAACCTCCAAGGTAGCAATATTTTGATGCGCTTATTGCGCCATCAGGACCCTATAACAACAATATATCAAAGATGAAACAAAAAAAACAAAAACCTCAACATCTAAAGCTAAAATATGACAAGTTTTCAGTGGAAACATGAGCTCTCCGAGCACTAAACTCAAGCAAAAGCTTAGACTTTCCGGCGAAAAACCGATGCCTTGCTGCATTTGTAGCAACGAAAGATGCGTAATTGATGAGATTGAGAACAAAGAGATAGCATACACTTCAATGTCAGAACAATCAAGTCCTCGTAGATAATCACAGAACGCTTCCTGCTTTTGGATATTCCCAAAACGGTCAAAACAATGAACAAAAAAAAAAAATTGATTCTTTTTATGAAAGTGGAAAAGAGAGATCTTACGAAAATACAAATCAAAGCTGAGGATTGAAACAAAAACGAAGAGAGATGAGAACTTTTTCAGCTATTGTGGATTTTGAAAAGGATTGAGATTTATCTAATTGAGAGACTAACACGGATCGTTTCGATTGTTTGCCGGCTTTCCAGTAAGCATAAGCCATGGTGAATTGGTAGAGATCGTTGAGCAGAGGCGTAACCATCGGGTAGGTGGGTCCGTCGACGACCCAACCCGGTTTCTTCCCATCAACACCATTTGCTTTCTTCTCCGTTCTCAAAATCCTGTGTGTGTTTTTTGTCCTTCCGGCCACTTTAAGGACTTCGTGGTTGTGTTAAAGAGAGAGTGGTCACTGACTCTGAAGCAAAAAGGCGAGCTTGAGGATGAGGACAACTTATTTTCATCTCCAATTATGCATTGCTCACATACGCAGGAGGCGGACCCAAAAGGTCATGAAGATGAATCGTCGTCAATGAGAAGAAGCGGAAGAATCGTTTGTTTTATTTATTTATTAAATTACCTATAATCAAAACGATGTCGTTTTGGAGGGGACGGAGAAGGAAAAAAAAAACGGATATTAAACGACGTCGTTTTGGAGTAAAACGGGAAAGGAAAATATAGAAGCGATGACGTGACACTCTCTGGAGGTGTTAAGGTGTCAGCAGCTGGAGAGTGTCACAAGCCCTTTCAATTATATAGATTAAGAAATAATTAATATAAAACTTTAATTGCATCATTTTTCTCTCACTAACCATTTTATCATTCATATAAACCAATAGTAATTCAACAATGTTCTTGAATTTTACAATCATATTACTTTTGTTAATAAACAATAAAAAAAAACTAAAAAATCCAAGTTTTGTGGAACAAATAAAATTTTCTAAAACATCAAGTTTTATAAACATATGGAATATATGTACTTCTTCAATCAAGCTGGGTCCGCCTCTGATCATAGTATTAGGATATGTATTTGTATATATAAAAATGGAGTGTATGGGCGGTGGAATCTTGGCAAAAGAAAAAAATGATGGAGGGTCGATTTAACAAATTGTCTTTATAATCGGATAGAGAGGGGTCTCTCAGTACTTTCGATAAAGACGAACTATTTGTCATAGTTTAGAGCTTTAAGCCACATGCACGGCCACATTGCGTACGTATATATACATAATTTCTTAAATAAAATCACATTTATACATACATGTATGATGTATCATGTACATGACGTACCTATACATATCCATGCGGTCGTGTATATATTCGTACGTCAAATGCATGCACGTGTATATGTGATAATGTGATTTGATTTTCTTAGTTAACGTCGAATTTGGTAATATTCCAGTCATGTTTTTATTTAATTTGACCGTTAATTATTAGCGCACTTCACCTGGCTCATTGGCCAAATGCATTTTCTATAGAAAACAAAAAAAAACAACGAAAACTGTTTGGTCAAACGGTCAAACTGACAGCCAACCTTATACTTTGCACTTATGTCATATATCCAGCTTTTTTTGGCTTGGTTAGTACGAATTTTTTTTATATAAACAAAATAAATCCCAAAATAGTATCAAGAAATAAATATTTAAAAAAACAAAGGTAAAATATCTTTGATAATGATAAAATTATTATACACTCAGTATAAAAGTTATTGAAAAATTAACAATAAAACAATTTCCAGAACCATTCCTCTTATAAACATTTAAGTACGTTCGACATTTATCTTCCCCCACCATTTCTTTAGTTGATTTTTTTAGAAAACAAAAAATTTCATCAACTAAAATTATGGCATTTTACTGGTCTTTGTCGTTTATTCATTTTCATTAGAGATGTTTATAGGTCTTAGATTTGGTCTGACGTCTGAGTTTTTGGTCCAAAACTTTTATGAAACTTTTTTGTATCAAATTTAGAAAATATGATATACTACACTTCCTCACTTGGATGTTGGATCTTAGCTAAATCTTTTTTTTTATTTAGGCCCAATTAACAGAAACCAAGTTTAATTAAGCAAGGCTAAGATTAACAAGCATCGGATACCTAGAAGTATGTGGGCATAGGGAGAGCGTGCATGAAAGTATATTTAAAAAGCCAAGTAAAAGATTAGAAAGAAAGAAAAAAAGGTTAAGGGATTCAGAAAAGTCGGGGTTCAAGTTTCTAAAGTGAGGTGCCCACACGGTTGTAACTTGTAAGAATCCCAAGCAATTCAACATCTTAATTCAGATTATAATTAGAATGATGATCATATTCTTTTCTTTGCACACGTGGGACAGAAATTTCATGAATTTCCGATTTATCTTTTTTTTTATTTAACTTAAGCTTTACTTTTACTATAATATCTAGGTTTTAATAGGCTCGGAAAATGAAAGGCAATCTAATGATGATAAGGGAGCGGCCTAATTAATACCCAAAATCAAGAGCATAACCTTCTGCGGTAAATGTGTATATAAAATTCATTTTAATATTTTGGTCAAAAGATACCAGTTTATTAGAAAGTACGATTGGAAAGAAAAAATAAATTAGTTAATTTCTTCTAGAAAACCTTTCTGCTTTAACATTTATCCATTAGTTATCCTGTTCGATTGTTTTACATAATCAACTATACGACATAACTCTGTGTAGTGTGACTAGTTAGTATATTCCACTTAAGTCGGAGCTATTATATTGCATTTATCTTCTAAATATACGTTTTTTGCTTTTACAAATTTTCCTAAAGTTCATGCCACATATTTATATAATTATATATATTAGCATTGAACTTGCAACAACTGAACCCCCTCGTTTCCGAACCCCATGACCATGTTTAGATTTTTTGCCCTTATCTGTATATAGTTTAATTACCATATGAGGGAAATTTTACTATGATCTTTTTATTTTATGATATTTATTACTTAAACGAAAAATAATGTGGTATCAAAGAAGACGTCACGACAAAGTTAGCCATGGATTTGGCATTTCTAGTACTCATTGTAAATATATAACGATGAAATTAAAATCCAATTGTTTTGCTTGCTTAAGTTGTCATTTGCAAATTTACCTTCCCACTTTCCGGAGGATTTAAACTTTTGCCAAGAAAAAGGTATAGTATATGTACGTAGACTTGAAGGGTGCAAACAAGATTAAATAACTTTATGTTTTGGTTTTATCCAGTTGTAATGTTAAATAATATTAATACCTACTAATTAGACACAGAAATTATAGTATATAGTGATTAATGGCTATGATCATCATTAGTTAGCCACCTATTATTGTAGTATTATGATAGCTTTTGAACTTCTTAATTAGAAAGTTTCACGTTTCTCACGAAATAGTTGGTTATTTGGGCTACATAAGGACTAGTGGAGCTCCATAATCATCCAATACTATATTCTTTTAAGAGAGAAAACCCCGTACATATTCATAACTGAACGTGAAATGTGATAATTGGTTGTTGAAAAAAATGCACAAAACATGTATAAATGGAACGTTTACATTTTAAAAAGTAAGATGAATGGAACATTTTCACTCAAAGTAAGATGAGACATAAAATGTTATACAGTATAAGAGATGTTTACTGTTAACTAATGTGAGTTAAACTATTGTTTACTGTTAAACATTTTTAAGTTTGGTTTCGCAACGTGGCGAGAGCTGAAGTGGGAATACAATGGAACACAATGACACATGGTTGGATTTCATTGGAGTAAAGGCCGCTCTAGTTAGCATGATGAGATCATGTAAAGAAGATGAAAGTAGAAAAAGAGAGTACACACACATCTCTCATTCGTTTAATATAACAAATTAATAAATAATAAAAAACTATAAATCTCTTTGGGAAATTGGGCCATTCCCCCAACAACAGAACCCATCAATTCCACTCAACAAGGAGTAGTTCTGTTACATAACTAATCATTTCAATATATTAAGCTTTTTAAGTAGTCGTTTTATACTCACTAGTTTTGCCACCATCTTCACCGGACCACTTCCTCATCAGACCAATAGAACAGTAGAATGTCGTATCAAAAAATATATAATTTAATTCTGTATACAACAACTTGAGAGTTGTTAAAAATAAAAACAATGTGTGTAACCTATTATTACATCCCTTTACCAAAAAATCATATTGTTTTGAGTTCTAACAAAAAAGAGTATTATAACACTAAGAACAAATATTTATATATTTCTCTTATATATAAATAAAGCTCACCAGTTACAATGTATTAGAATCTGAAGATTGTAGTGGGAAATCTAAATATAATTCAAACATTTATAACGATCACATAATATACGAACCTACAAAACTGATGTAACTGATGTTTTTTAAAATGCTTTGATGAGTAAAAAACTACATTTTTCCTTATCTTATGCTGTATATGTTTTTTGGGTGAATTGGTTTAATATTACTAAAAAATTTCATAATTTGAAAACTAACCCAGGTTTTAAAATTTTGAAAACTAACTTTTTTAATAAGTGAAAAGACAATAAAACCATTATCATTTTCCTATTAATAATGAGAAAAAAAATCTTATTTAATTTAGATATATATTAATTTAGATATATAAGATATTTTCGAAAATTTGTTTAGATATATTTTTAATAAATATTTAAAAATACACATGTTATTTTGAAAATATATTCATATTTATCATAAAAATGAATCAAACTCTATAAATATATACACATAAATATCATTTTAGAACAAAGAAAAACTCACACTTCATTCTTAAAAAAAATGATGGAATGTGTTAAAGTTAACTCATATTCTATATTTATGAGATGTTAAATTTCAAATAAGATCTTCTAAATATCTTTTTGTTTTCTTGTTGTAAATTTTATTCAGATTTTATGGGAATATCCACACTGAAGTTTTTTTTCTTCTCTTTTTTTGTTATATAAAATAAAAATAATTGTTTATAATTATCTTTAGAATAACAGAATTTTTTTTATAATTTAAATAATTTTTAAATAAGATAAACGAATTTTAAAACAATTTTAATATCTAAAAAATTGAGGGTATTTTAGTAATTTTGAATATTAGAAAGATTAGTTTACCAACATTTTAAAAATGGGTTAGTTTTCAAAATATGATTAATTTATGTAATATTGGTCCAAATTTCCTCATGTTTGTTTTTTAAGTTGCAAATTACGATAATCATATTAATATTAATAAAATGTGGACTCACGTACTGTTCATTCTTTTCTTCTTTTTCTTTGATAAGCATGCTAAGAGTAGACCATACATAAATAGTGTTGCTTTTTTTTTATGGGGATGAGAATGGAACTCTTTAGAA